AACAAAGTCGGGAAAGTCCTTTGACTGAACATGAAGGTGATACATCTAATTACCTCTGCCGTTATGGTTTTGGTGGTATTTGCATGTCATTTTGTTTGTGAACACAACAGCTTGAAAATTTTGAATGAACTGTGCTAAAACTTTGTAGGGGTATAGAGTGAGGTCATGTTAACAATGCATGAACATTTCTCCTACATCCACCCAGCTCTTCAATTTAATGATTTGTTGGTCAAAAAATGGCAAAAAGCTTTTTAACTTCGAAAGTATGCACCACCACGGGTGCTGTGTATTGCCAACATATAGAAAGCACCATATAAGTATTTAAAATATCATGTCAAATCTGACCTTTCTAGATTAATATGCTAATAATGCTGCACATAGTTACTTCAAATGTCAGTTTTGAGACTGACAAGAACTTTTTGAGTACAGCTAAATCTTATTTTTTATGTACTTTAAATTGATAACAACTTTAATACATATAGTATGTTCATGAGTATTTTAAAACCTTTTTAACTTGATATTAATCCCTAAACATTTAAACATTCCATTGTTTTAATAATCAATGAAATGAATGCTACATGTGAACTATATGCACAAAAATTAAAAATACTCAAAATAACAATTATACTCAAAATTATGTCAAGTATATTAAGATGGTGAACACCTGCACTTTGCACTTGGCTTTACTGCACTACGAACTTCTAAAAAGGACAATGAAAATAACATGAATATATAAAGAATACACTTCTTTTCCTTTAAATGTAACTACTCCCCAGAGAGTGAGCTGCCGAGGTGGAGGTTTGTGCTCTCTGGAGTTTTTTTCTTAGGCTTTCTTTCCTTTGCTTTCAAATCTAACAATTTGACTTATTTGTGCTTGCATACACAAATCCATCTTTATCTATTTTCAAGAAAACAATAAGTGCTATCTAGTCGGCCACAAAGGAAACAGGATTTAAGGGTCATATAGAAGTCTGCCACTTGGTGGCGCTACACAGCCACTAGGCGCTGAAAAATCCCACCTCTCTCATACTTACTTCTCAGTTACCATATTTGTTTACATTTCACCAATAGTTTCCTGCACAGAATAGTGATCACTATACTTTACTCCATTTAAACAAATTTAACTTATATTGTTTAGAGCAATGGTGTAGCCTGTTATGACTCTATGAGGAGGCTTTGCCCCTTTTCTTTTCTTATCTTTTTATTCATTTGGCTGACTGAGTTTAGTTTTTACTTTAAGCAGCACCAGTGTGAGGTCAGCAGCAGGCGGTGATCACCAAGCAAAAGGCACCGTAGGGTCAAATTCAGCTCAAAAATCTTGCAAGCTGTGTTTCCGACAGGAAAATCTGCTGTGTCAGGAGGTTAAGCTCCATAAAATCACAAGGATACACAAAAGAGAAAACTTTAAAAATACATTTTTGAATTGTTTTGAGTTGGGTTGCCAGTTTGGTAACAATTAAATCATCTGCCTGAATTTTCTAGAGCCTGTGCCCTAATTATAAGCCTCGTGAGTTACACAATTTGGCATGCAGCAGGGATTTACAGTAAACAGGGATGAACTTTTTAGGGATGTGCTAAAAACAGCTTCTCTATTCTATTTTACTGTCTCCAGTTTTTATTAAAATATGTTTAAACTGATTCAACTATAACCCAATAACAGACTCCTGTCTTTTCCTTGGCGTATCTCACTTTTTGCCATTTGCCAGCTGACATCCAGGATGAGTGGGTAAAAAAAAGGGGGAAGAATGGTGTATTTTTTTTAACATGATTTAATTATTTATGGTTATGGTTATAAATTTAGGTTAATTTTTAAATACAGCTGCTGAATATTTGAATTTTATTTATGGCAATAATTAAAGCATCTATCTATCTACAACTGTTACTGTGCTATCACAGCTCATGGAAAATTTCCGACTTCACTTAATGACAAAAATTAGCTGAAGAAGTGTTGATTAACTAAAAGACAAACATAACAACAACAGAGCAATTACATGAGGCACAACTCACCAGCAGCAGACTGAAGGTGCTTCTCTGTCGACCGAAATAAACAAAGTGGTCGGTGTGGACAGATCTCGACAGGATATCTTGACCTGACGAGATCTGTTCGTAATCTTTCCACTTCAGCTTTATCCTATTACTGTCTTTGCTTGAGGTTGATGCCCGGTAATCCGGCAGTCGTCACGCTGACTGAGTGGTTTGTTTTGGAAAAAGACTGCTTAGTCACATCAAACGTACTGTTGACAACCATAAAAATGTATTTATTTCAAATGTTGTAATGGGGTATCGGCACATGTCAGACAAGACTAACCATCAGAGGCCAGAAGTCTTGTACGTGCACATTAGAGGCTGAAAGGTTTGAGCGAGGTTTACTCTCTGGCTGCCTTTTATATGAGGTGCAGAGAAGATGTCCCTGAAGGGATTCAAGTTAAATAACCACAAAAGAGTCAAAATATGTCTCAGAATCAACTGCAAATTCTTATTACATCTACCAGCAGCTGTACATCTGTGTAAAGGCTTTTGGAAATGTTTGCTGCACACACAAATATTAATGTTAAATTAACCATTAACCAGTCAACCAAGCAACCAAGCACACATGGTTGTCTCAGTCCTGTTCACACACACACACACACACACACACACACACACACACACACACACACACACACATGAGTGATATAAACACAGTGAGCTGAGATTTACACGTTATTCTTTCTGTTGTTAAGCTTGTTTTGGTTTTTTTTGGACCTGAGCCAGACTGATCTCATAACCTATACTGGCACAGGTGAAAGAAAATACACACAAATCCTCACTTTGAAGTAATAGTACACTCTGTTATATATTATATCAATAGAAGCCAGTCCAGCCTATTTTTTTTTAGTAAAGGGACACATTCCTCTCAGCAGAAAGCTGTTTCCATTAAAAGTTTTCATTCTTGGTCAAATGCGATGGACTCTCTCACTGCTGCTCCCATCATTCTCAAAAATGTGCCCTCTTTGCATGGTGTGACCCAGATAATAGAGTCCTTATGGATAATAATCAAAAACAGCCAGTGCTTCAGCCTCACTGACACCTTCTGCACCTGGTTCCTATAACACTGCAGGGAAAACCCGTTCCTCCCATGTCCTTCCATGGCTCAGCTCAACATAAAACAGTTGAATGTATAAAACAGCACTTGGCTGTGTAAGACTTCAAGCACACAATTACTCATCGAGAAATTCAGGTCAATTTTATTTATATAGCGCCAAGTCACAACAACAGTTGCCTCATGGCTCTTTATATTGTAAGGTAGACCTTACAATAATACATACAGATAAAAACCCAACAATCATATGGCATCCTATGAGCAAGCACTGTGGCGACAGTGGGAAGGAATTACTCCCTTTTAACAGGAAGAAACCTCCGGCAGAACTAAGCTCAGGGAGGGGCGGGGCCATCTGCTGCGACCGGTTGGGGTGAGAGAAGGAAGACATGCTGTGGAAGAGAGACAGAGATTAATAACAGGTATGATTCAATGCAGAGAGGTCTATTAACACATAGTGAGTGAGAAAGATGGCTAAAGAAGGAATACTTAATGCATCATGGGAATCACGCAGCAACCTACACCTGTTGCAGCATAACTAAGGGAGGATTCAGGGTCACCTGGTCCAGCCCTAACTATATGCTTTAGAAAAAAGGAAAGTTTTAAGCCTAATCTTAAAAGTAGCGATAGTGTCTGTCTCCTGAATCCAAACTGGAAGCTGCTTCCACAGAACAGGGGCCTGAAAGCCGAAGGCTCTGCTTCCCACTCTATTATTTAGTAGTGTGAAAGTGAGGTGCTTTAATAGGGTGATATTATAGGGTGGTACTACAAGGTCATTAAGGTAAGATGGGACCTGATTATTTAAGACCTTGTATGTGAGGAGCAGGGTTTTGAATTCAATTTTGGATTTAACAGGGAGCCAACGAAGGGAAGCCAATACAGGAGAAATATGCTCTCTCTTTCTAGTTCCTGTCAGTACTCTTGCTGCAGCATTTTGGATTAACTGAAGGCTTTTCTGGGAGTTTTTTGGACTTCCTGATAATAATGAATTACACAAATAGTGCTGGGTGTGTGTGTCATGAAAGTCTGAAGTCCTGGGTTGAAGACATAAGCAGAGAACTGAATTATAATGAATGAAACTGTTAAAAACTGTTAAAAACTGTGCCACTCAGCTAAGAACAGAAAACCGAGGCTACAATTCACACTAGGAACTCATAAGGATCCTTGCAAAACAGGTAAAACCCATCGATAAATTCTGTTGATTGCAGCCTGTTTACAAAGAGAAACAGGGATATTAGACATGAAAACAGATACAAACATTGGAAGTGACTTTTTGGCATGACACCTGCATTAGCAGCATGCACCTAATAAAATGTGTGTGACTGTATTTATTCATTTGATAACCCCTTTATTCAATAATTGCATCTTTTTCCATTTTATTGAGCAGTTATTTATACAGACCAAAAGAGAATGAAAAGAAGTGTGGAGCACTATTGTACTCAGATCCTCAAATGAAAACCTGTGCTCCTCATGTATTCTGGAATCTTCTCCAATTTCTTCACATTTTTAACTATATTTAAACAACTGGAGCTCCTCTTAAAAAAGTAATAATAATAAGAATGATGACGTAAAAATAAAACTATAATATGGAAAATCTGAAATGAAAATAGAAGTCTTCTACCTTTTATTTTATTTTATTTTATTTATTTATGTATTAATTTAGTTAGTTTGCCATGAGACAAACATTTCAGTCCACTCTGTTTTGTGTTTTCGGACATAAAAACTGAACCAATAACGGGGAACACAACATTTGGAATCACTATAATTCAGAATCATTCTCCCATATTAAGACTGGGGAAATCAAAATGAACCGCACAATGGCAGCTGTGTGTGTGTGTGTATGTGCAAACACCCTCTGCAGACGGTGCGCACAGATGTGAGGAACACGTGGTTTCTCCAAGCAGCCACTTCCTCTCACGTATGGATTCCTTCACTTTGGAGTTTCTCCTGTTACTCTTGCGGGTGTGACTGGAGCGCTCATGACTCGGATACACCCTCAAACTCAGCATCCCTTCCAACAACCACATAACTATTTTACATTTTTCCTCCCTGCTTTTTTAGAACTTCTTCTTCCATTCCTTATTTTAAGCAAAGTGCGTCCTTTTTTATGCAGCACTAAAGTTACCTGCGCTGAAGGAAGTCTAGCTTAAAGAGCTGCGGATGGAGCGTTGAAATCGTATTATTGTTCTTATTATTCTTTTTAATAACCTATCAACACGCTAAGGAAACCGGGAAAGCCCACGGATTCAAGGTGCCTTGGCGCATAACGGGAGGTTTCGGGCAAATGCCACTGCGATGCTGTGGATGTGACTTCAAACAGCAGCTTCACAACGGTAGAGTCCTGTAAACAACAATGAAAGGTAAGTTTAGTCTGGGGAAAAAAGTTTTAAAATGATGGAAAATATCTAAATAGCAAACTTCGGTCTACTTTCTGATTACCCCACATTCCTCTCGCGCTTTTTTGTCACACTTTTCTGCGCGCTCTCTCTCTCTCACTCTCTCTCTCTCAGTCTGGGGCATGAGGAATGCGTAGGCTACAACTGGCGTCTAACATCTGGAATCAATTAAGGCACTCTGTTTGGGATTGTTTTGCATCTGTCCACTGCTGCACATCAAACACTAACCCGTGTTAGGAGAACTTTTCAAAACGGAGGAAAAAAACGAATCGTGGTGCAGTGAGTGACAGCCTGGGGAGGGAGAACGTGTTGTTTTAAATCAAGGTTTAGATAAAGATTTCCTAGATGTGATTCTCATGTGTTGCCCTGGTGTTTTGGACTAAATTAAGCTCCTCCATATCAGTCTCTGAGGTCCAAGCTTTATAGGCCAGTAAGCTGTTTCCCTCTTACAAATAACAAACACTGCATGGTTACTGCCATCTTGTGGTCTCTCTTAGAGAGCTTCACATTTTGACCAAATTTTTGATCATCTCTGGGATTTCACATTATTTCCACCCAACAGAATGACAGACATTGCCCTTATAATTTCAATTTCTGATATTCCTGATTTTAGAAAAAAATAAAATAAAATAAAAAAATAAATAATAATAATAATGAAAGGGGAATGATTTATGGCCTGACCATCAAATTAAAGAATTCAGAAATTATGGCACTGCATAACCTCAATGCAAAAAACCCCCCAAAACAAAACAAAAATGCAAATCATATAAAATCCATTGTTAAGGCAGGTAAATACTTGCTAGGATCAGCAACTTAAAATAAATTTTTAAAAAAAGCGAAATCAGCTACATCATAAACTACCTTTCAAAAACTACAAGATTCTTTTTCAAGGTCTCCACAGAGTCCATACTCTGTAGAAATAGAGGAAGTGGCCCTTTCTTGTTTAGACAAGTAAACAGACGATTAAAGTAGTCCAGTCTTGTAGAGACAAAAGTATGAATTATCATCTCAAGTTCACTTGTTGACTCAATTAATCTAAGTTTTGAGATGTTTCTCAAATCACAAAAACAGGTTCTTACTATCCATTTTAAGTGTCACTCCAAGGAAAAAGCTTGACCAAAAATAAAACCTAAATTTGGAGACCTTGGAGAGTTTGTCACCTTCAGAAGGCTTAAATGAGCAGTATAGCAGAATATCATCAGCAAAAGATGATAAGAAACATCAAGAAACTGCTGTATAAACTGGCCTAAAGGAAGAATGTACATCAAAAACAGAATAGGCCCCAGCACAGAGCCTTAAGGAACTCCACTCTACTGAATCCTACTGCTTATTTTTATATAGATATACAGACATGGAAGTGTAATTTTTTAAAAATCTAATCTTCAATGAAAAAGTAGAAAAGAAAAGAAAATAAGTTTAATTATTTCTTTAAAGTGGTTGTGCTTTACAGATACTGCACATTGCTAATACAAGCAGAGATTTTAACAGAATAAATATCAGTATATATTTACACCGTTTATCTGTATGTATTGTTACTGCTTTCATTTAAAATTTGAATATAAATGTGAAGGGACGTCTTAATACAGAAGATAATTAAAGGGAAATAGATACTTACAGAAGGAAAACACAAAGAGGCACTGGACTGCTGTAGGATTCAAGTTTTAAAATACTGATGTTGATGGGGCCAATATATTGGGCGATATTAGCTGTTTTTCAATATACTGGTATCAGCATTTAAAGAAGAGATTGAAGAAACACCCTTCAATTGTGTTATGATTGTTAATGCAACTTCTCTGTTGTCAACACGTTTGGAATGCTAGCTGATCCAAGCAAAGTCAGGCGGTGCAGAAACAAGTAATCCACCACTTGCCGTGACAATAAAGCACATTATTTTTCTCTGTATTATCTTAGTAAGGACTCATAAATATCTATATATAACAAATGTTATTGAAATCTGGCAATGTTTCATCTGTCTGGTAGAAAAAAAATATCAGCCAACATATATATCAGAGTTTTAAATCAGTAAATATCAGTAACGGTCTGAAAAATCTTATATTATTATTATTATTATTATTGTTATATATTTTAAACTTTCTTTTCCATGCAGGACTTTGTTTATATCAGAGAGACAGATAGCCTAACCTTCCAAAATGGACAAATTGTGTCCTCTCAGTATTATGTAACTATTAGTCTCACTAGTATCCACTTCTGGAATGTTAAACAATCTTTCTTAAGTATCCTGGCCCCATGCAGCAGTACACATCGCCAAATCCAAATAACACTCACTTTGACTTGCGCTTTTTTCAGGTCAGCCCTTCGGGTAAAATTCCATTTCCCAAAAATGACTTTTCAGCAGCTCCAGACTTACACTGATATAACTATTGTAATGGGATGTTTCCATGTTACTTGCAAACATAAACAGGAAAGAGGTTGTTGAGGGTATAGGAATAGGGAAACACAAATTGTAAGATTGGTTTAGTATGTTTTACAACACTTTAGATTGTTCTGGTCACCTCTTAGCTCCATCTGCTCTCTGTCCATGGGGTCTGCTAAAAGGTCAGAGTCATTTATTTCAGTACTAGACCTTGGAAAGAGGCAGCTTCCCATCACATGTTTCTTACTTCTCCCGTTTCCAGCTGAAGAAGCACTGATAGAAAAGAGTCACTGCTCTAGTCTTCAGACATCTATTGCCCCTTTTAAGGTTATATAGATGAAAAAGGGGGTTTTTGTCATAAGATTATTGGGACATGTTCTGTTTCTTTATTTTCATGGGAGAATAATCCCACACAGTGCTTTTGGGGGTTCAATCCTGTCAAGGTTGGACATGTTGATAGTCTGACTTAGACAATCTCTGTTGGACAAATTTTGGACATGTTTTTAAAATGTCAAGGGCAGATTCAGTGGGCAACAAATATACATTTCCTATATGATTTTCTTACAGTAATCTTTGAGAGAGACATGGTTTTAAATATCCTCTACATAGGAATATTTTGATTTAAATTGACTGGAGAAGTCTGTTCTTTATTAAACTGTAATTTGTGTAGAAAACAAAAGCTAATCTTACTTGTTTGCTTAGGGTTTCAGTAATGTTTCAATCGCTTCATCAACAGGCACAGTTTACAGTATATTCAAGCTCACATCTCTTTATTTCTGTCTGACTGAATTTAACATTGTATTGCTTTTTGGTTTCTTTTTGTTTACTTTCCATTAAATTTTATCCCTTTTGCTGTTTTCCTTCCAGACGACTTTGCTGATGAGGAGGAGGTGCAGTCCTTTGGTTATAAAAGGTTTGGTAAGTAAAAAGTGACTTCTGGAACCATCTGCTGTGACCACCTTAACTGGTTCATATTTCTTATGACACATCAGTGATTTTGCACACTTTTTGTGTGTGTGTCTTGGCTGTAGCCCATCTGCAATAATCCTTGAGGTTAAATGCAGACTGCAACTCATTTCCGAGAAAGGTACTTATTTTTGGCTGTAGTTTTCATTTTCATTTTATTTCTTTGTTATAATTGAAAAGGATTACAGTGGAACGAGAAACCACAATATCCTGGGTGTTCCTGACTAGCTGATAACTTTGCAGTTTTATCAGCACATGTGTACTTCTGTTAAACCCTGAGCTGTATAAAACATAAAAACTGCCTCCCACTGGATCTGTTCTTGGTATGTATTTGGGTCTTATGCAGACAGGTTTGTTGACTTACCCACTCATCAGGTAATATATATATACCTCAAAACAAATGTTGTTAACATCCTAGATGTATGGCTATATTGATATCAGCCATTGGCTTGTGACATATGCAGAATCTGTAGGCAACAGGAAAGATTTCTGATATGTAAAGTGGATCTGAGAGTCCACAAACACTACATAAGATTTTCTTTTACAGAGGAGGTACCCTTTGTTGGATGAAAAAATGTACATTTCAGACATTTCTGTACTGGCTTTACTTTTCAGACACCATGTGTGGTGCTTAAATGGAATGCAGTTTCCTGCAATTCCCATAAATGCCCAATAAAAACAGATCAAATTGTATCCTTTTAATATTTGAGTGTTACAGAGTCCTTAGTGTTTATGCAGCCTAAATGCAGTGTGTGAAATACCTACCTTAAATAAGTTAAAGTCAGTTTAAATTTTATGTGTAGAGATCCAATTTGCAGCAACAGTCTTCTAATTTTAGGTAAAGAACCTACAATTAGAGAGAAACAACTCTACAAGCAAGCATTTAGTGACAGTGGGAAGAAAGAACTCCCTTTTAACAGGAAAAGACCTACACAGCTAGACTTCTGTGTGGGGGAAGCTGTCTAACACGACAGTTTGGAAGGAGAAGAGAAAAAGGACAGCATAGGGAGAACTTTGGGAGAAAGAAGACAAGTCAGTGACACACAATATTAGCTTGTAATTACATTATCGGTGAAAATAGGTGAGTGAAGAGGAAGAGCTCAGTTAATTATAGGAAGTCCCCCAGCAGCCTGAGCCTATAACAGCATAGTTAGGTGATGGTTCAGGATCACATGATCCAGCCCCGACTATACGTTTAATCATAAAGGAAAGGCTTAAGTCCAGTCTTAAAACTAGAGAGGGTGTCTTTGTCCTGAATCCAAACTGAGAGCTTGTTCGATGGGGGAAGGGCCCTTAAAGCTGAAGGCTCTGCCTCCTGTTCTTCTCTTGGAAGCTCTAAGAACCACAAGTAAACCTGCAGTCTGAGAATGAAGTGATGTATTGGGAGAATATGAGGTCGCTAAGATATGATGAAGCTTGATTATTCAGGACTTTTTATATGGAAAGAATCATTTTCAATTTAGTTCTGGTTTTAATCAGGAAGAGAAACTAATGTAGGAGAAATATGTTCTCTCTTCCTGGTTCCTGTTTGTACTCTTGTTGCAGCATTTTGGATCAACAATGTATCGCATGTACAAGACGTTCCAAATGTTGTTTATTTTTACAAGTAGATTTTGTTTATTTTCTAGGCTGTCTTTTACTGTATGTGCGTTACACATGAATGCATGTGCTGATCCAACTCTTCTTACAAGAATAGGGCAGTTTGCATTTCTTTGCTTCCAAACCAAACATCGTTGTTGCTATGAATGTGTTTTTGTGTCATTCAGACAATATTTATGTTGCCCATTATTTATTCAGACCATCTGCACTTTTTATTGAGCTGTTTGACCTCTGGTTTCTAAACAGCTGCGTGGGATCACATAAGTGATAAGGGAAAAATTGTATTTTTTCAAGTAGCTCTTTGGCATAGATTTTGTACAAGAAACACAGTCCCTCCCTCCCCAGCAATATTAGTTTTGGATTGGCAGGGAGAAATTTGTTTCATGTTGCTCTTAGACCTTCAAAACATATTCACTCGGCACGTCATTTCTATATTTTTCATACTACAACTAGTCATTTAAGTCCTCAGTCTTATAGGGAAGCATCAGCATTTCTTGTTTGTCCACTCAAGATTGAACCATGACAAGATGTAGTTTGATGTTTCGATATAAACAGTCACATACTATGAGCAGATTGATATTGCACTCATGTCTTTGCATAAAACTGGGAGCTAGAAGCCATGAAGACGGGAAGCTTAGAAAAACATGTAGCTTGCATAGTTTATACATCCACGCTACATTTCAGGGATTTTCTCCAACACAAAATGTTAAACTGTACCTTTAACTTGTCTCCTACACTTATACATTAGCAAAAAAATGGTATGTTGCCCTGCGTCTCCTATGTCTTCTTTTAATGACAGGAAAGGTGGTGTTGACTCATTCTGACGTTTACTTTTCACAAGTGGTCTGTTTTCCCACTGAGAGTACGTCCAAACCTGAGAAGTTGCTGAGCTGCTTCCTGTGTCCATACTGGAGGTTTATTCATTGCCGGCCCGTACTCCAAAAAAGAAAATGAGACAGAGGTGGAGTGTGGGTTTCAGGTCTGGCCTGTGCTGTGTCAGCAAAATGCCAAAGGAGAGAGAGGGAAGAGGGAAGTGGGAAAGTCTATTTTTTATTTTATTTTAAAATGCTTCCTTTATCTTAGCATCACTCAGTGCCCAGTGGTTGTTTTTGCAGTTTGTAATCTGCATTTATTTTTGACTAATTCCACAGGGAAACATTTTTCCATTGTTTTGTTTTTGGGTTGTTGTTTTTTTGGGTTTTTTTTGTTTCTTTTTTTTTAGGAGCTGATGAGTCACGTTCTTTGCTTGACTTATTTTTGGGAACAAGTGGTTTTAATTTATGTTTGAGTTTATTACAAGAAAAGAATGCTTTCTAAATGCCTCCTTGTTACTTACACCCCCCTTCCAGAACACGCATGCATGCACTTTATGTTCCGTTGTCGTAATGAAAAAACACTTTCTGGTGTTTTCAATAAAGAGCAGGAGTCTTGGGAGGAAACAGAGTGAAAATATGAATATGAATGCAAGCAGAAAAAAACAAACTTAAGAAACTAGGTAACTAAAATAGAAACAATGAAGGACAACCCCCCCAAAAAACTCTCTCTCTCTCTCTCTCTCTCTCACACACACACACACACACACACACACACACACACACACACACAC